CCTTCCTTCCTTCCCTTCCCTTCCTTCCTTCCTTCCTTTTCTTCCTTCCTTTCCTTCCCTTCTCTTCCTTCCTTCCTTCCTTTCCTTCCTTCCTTCCTTCCTTTCCTTTCTTCCTTCCTTTCCCTTCCTTCCCTTCTTCCTTCCTTTCCCTTCCTTCCTTCCTTCCTTTCCTTCCTTCCTTCCTTCCTTCCTCCCTTTCCTTCCTTCCTCCCTTTCCTTCCTTCCCTTCCTTCCTTCCTTTCCCTTCCTTCCTTCCTTCCTTCCCTTCTCTTCCTTTCTTCCTTCCTTTCCCTTCCTTCCTTCCTTCCTTCCTTCCTTCCTTCCTTCCTTCCTTCCTTCCTTCCTTTCCTTCTTCCCTTCCTTCCCTCCCTCCCTTCCTTCCTTCCTTTCCCTCCTTCCTTTCCCCTCCCTCCCTCCCTTCCTCCCTTTCCCTCCTTCCTTCCTTCCTTCCTTTCCCTTCCTTCCTTCCTTCCTTCCCTGGATGACACAATCTCCTGACACCTGGCCATGGCTGACCCCCATCCTGCCTGGATGCTTGGTGCTCTGATTATGTCATGGCGATGATGTCATCACCTCGGTGACCTCATTCCTCTTCTTGGCTGTGAGTCGTTGCTCTGTAACGATGCAGCCTGTGTCATGCGTCACATGGACTCAGAGCGGCTCAGAGCGGCGGTGAGCGTTCGGACCTTTGCGGCAATAAACTTCGAACATAAACCGATATATAAGGCACGGCTCCGCGTGGGAATGCAGAACTCTGCCAGCTGGCCGTGTCATCCCTGTCCTCCTCCTCACTCACTTGTGTCCAGACTTCCTGATTGGTGACGAGCAACTCTGACAGTTCTTGTTTCCACAGAATGTGGGCGCTAATCATGTGATATCTGCAGTCCAGGACACAGATTCTTACTCCTCTGTCATCACTAATACGTCATTATATGGATGGAAGGTGCCTGGATGGGACCTGTACAGCAGAGCTCAGAATGGAAGAGGAAGAAGCAGCACAAGGAGCCAATCAATTGTGCTGCAGTGTTCATGTGATAACAAGAGACACCCTGATAGGAGGAGAGAGCAGGGTGACCGAGGGGTGAGTTCATCAGTCTGCTGTTTCTATTTTACTGTCCAGTCACAGACTGGGGGAGGGACAAAACATGTAGGGGAGGGGCAGAGGAGGAACCGAGCTGCCATTTCAGTAGTATGTCTCCTCCATTTATTTGGTAATGTATAGAAATGGCTCCTGGGCTGTGCTGTGTGTAATGGTGCTGTGCTCCTCCCACAGCTCCTCCAGCCACTCCTCCAGCCACTGTGCTCCTCCTGCCACTGTGCTCCTCCAGCCACTGTGCTCCTCCAGCCACTGTGCTCCTCCCACCACTCCTCCAGCCACTGTGCTCCTACCGCCACTGTGCTCCTCCTGCCACTGTGCTCCTACCGCCACTGTGCTCCTTCCACCACTGTGCTCCTTCCGCCACTGTGCTCCTTCCGCCACTGTGCTCCCTCCTGCCACTGTGCTCCTCCAGCCACTGTGCTCCTCCAGCCACTGTGCTCCTCCCACCACTCCTCCAGCCACTGTGCTCCTACCGCCACTGTGCTCCTCCTGCCACTGTGCTCCTACCGCCACTGTGCTCCTTCCACCACTGTGCTCCTCCTGCCACTGTGCTCCTTCCACCACTGTGCTCCTCCTGCCACTGTGCTCCTCTACCGCCACTGTGCTCCTTCCACCACTGTGCTCCTCCCGCCACTGCGCTCCTCCAGCCACTGTGCTCCTCCCACCGCTCCTCCAGCCACTGTGCTCTTCCCGCCACTGTGCCCACTGCCAGGCGCGACCACATCACCCGCTCCCCTTCGCCTCAAAGTCAACTTCCTGCATCATCATCCTCAATCATCATTGTCATCCTCATCATCACCATCCTCTCTCATCACCATCATCATTTTCACTATCATCATTATTGCCATCATCAACATCTTTATTCATCATCAACATCTTCATCATCATCATCACATCATCTTCATCATCATCATCCATCCATCTTCATCATTGTCATCATATCACACCATCACCATCTTAATCTTCATCATCACAATCTTCATCATCACCATCTTCATCACCATCTTATCATCATCACCATTCTTCATCATATCATCACCATCTTCATCACCATCTTATCATCATCACCATCTTCATCACCATCTTATCATCATCACCATCTTCATCATCATCACCATCATCCATTATCATATCATCATCACCATCTTCATCATCATCATCACCATCTTCATCACCATCTTCATCACCATCTCCCTTCATCATCCATCATCACCATCTTCATCACCATCTTATCATCATCACATCCATCTTCATCATCATCACCATCATCATTATCATTATCATCATCATCACCATTTCATCATCATCATCACCATCTTCATCACCATCTTCATCATCATCATCACCATCATCATCATCATCATCATCTTTCATCATCATCACCATCACCATCTTCATCATATCATCACCATCTTCATCACCATCACATATCCATCATCACCATCCATCATCATCATCATCATCACCATCTTCATCATCATCATCCATCATCATTATCATATCATCATCAATCCATCCTCATCATCATCATCACCATCTCATCATCATCACAATCTTCATCATCACCATCACCATCTTCATCATCCATCACCATCCATCACACATCATCATTATCCATATCATCATCACCATCATCATCTTCATCATCCCCACCATCTTCCATCATCATCACCATCAACTTCATCAACCATCATCATCATCACCATCTTCATCATCATCATTAGCATCACCATCATCTTCGCCATTGTTGCCATCATCACCATCACCCCCCATCTTCCATCACCGTCTTCATCATCATCATCATCACCAAAATCTTCATCATCATCATCACCATCTTCATCCCCCATCACCATCTTCATCATCATCATCACAATCTTCATCATCCATCATCACCATCTTCATCATCACCCATCTTCATCACTGTCCTCATATCATCATCACCATCTTCTTCATCATCATCATCATCATCATATCTTCATCATATCATCATCACCATCATCTCCATCTTCATCATTATCATCACCATCTTCATCATCATCCCTTCATCATCATCCATCATCTTCATCACCATCATCACCATCTTCATCATCATCATCTTCATCATCATCACCATCTTCAACACCATCTTCATTATTATCATCATATCATCATCACCATCTTCATCATCATCTTCGCCATTGTTAACATCATCAACATCTTCATCATCATCACCTTCATCATCATCACCATTGTCATCATATCATCACCATCTTCATCATCACCATCTTCACCATCACCATCTTCACCATCATCATCACCATCTTCATCATTGTCATCACCATCATCACCATCTTCATCATATCATCATATCTTCATAATCACCATCTTCTTCATATCACCATCATCACCATCTTCATCACCATCATCATCATCTCCATCATCTTCATGCCACTAACAGACAGCAATGAATTCAGGGAGGCTCTGCGCAGTATTTGATCCCAGCCGGCTCCCGCACTCCGTCCTCCTCTCGGCCATTCCTCGCTCTTCAATCCTCCCCCAGCTGACACCTGCACATCCTTAGACTCCTCCTCCTCTCTGCTGCCGACTGCTGAGACAAGGTGGGGGCGGGGATGAGGGGGTGCTGCAGCTGCACAGAAAGGTGCAGGATCTGGAGGCGGAGTTCTGCCCTCCTCTCTGATACCGCACTGCTGAGACAAGGTGGGGGCGGAGATGAGGGGGCGCTGCAGCTGCACAGAAAGGTGCAGGATCTGGAGGAGGAGTTCTGTCCTCCTCTCTGCTGCCGACTGCTGAGACAAGGTGGGGGCGGAGATGAGGGGGTGCTGCAGCTGCACGAAAAGACGCAGGATCTGGAGGCGGAGTTCTGTCCTCCTCTCTATGCCGACTGCTGAGACAAGGTGGGGGCGGAGATGAGGGGGTGCTGCAGCTGCACAAAAAGACGCAGGATCTGGAGGCGGAGTTCTGTCCTCCTCTCTATGCCGACTGCTGAGACAAGGTGGGGGTGGAGATGAGGGGGTGCTGCAGCTGCAAGAGAGGTGCGAGGGCCACATGAAATGATCAGGAGGGTGGGATTCGGCCCTGGGTCCTTGTGTCTGACACATGAGCTGTGACAACCTCTGGTATAAGGATTTACCACCAACCGCCATCACCTTCCACTCCTGCACTGCAGTGACACATACACGAGCAGGGGGTGACGATTGTGTCTACTGTTGCCATGGTTGTAAAAGGAACCTTGATTTGTTTACCACTTGTAGCAGAACGTTGTCCGCCGGCAGATTGGATACATTTTATTTCCATCCAGAGATGGAATGTTCTGCACCGCTGAGAGACGTTACATTGTTTCCTTAGTGGAGTCATCCTTGAAGAATAATGTGGATGGTCCGAGCGCCGGGAGATCCTCATCCGTCTCCGTGAGATCTGCGCCGGGACGTTCTATATATTGGCCAGAACATAGAAATGATGTCATGAGATGACTGGCGGGGGAGGAAGCTGGGCAGGAACCTGCCAGGGGCTGGAGGTCCCAGGGATCTGACACCGGCTCAGGAAGTCAGGAGTGACACCATCGTATGACGGCGGAATCACAGTCCACGAGGGCCGAATATGGGAGCGACTTGGCGGAGTCCTCACCTATGGAGGAAGGAGGAAGATATTATCTGCCAGGGAGGATCGTCTGCCCATACACAGGCCAATCGCCAGTTGTATCTTCATCATCTGTGTCCTGATAAAAGATTTCTGTCATCGTTACATGGAACATTGAGAAAGTGCCTGAGACCAAACAAAGTGCCTGAGACCAAACAAAGTGCCTGAGACCAAACAAAGTGCCTGAGACCAAACAAAGTGCCTGAGACCAAAGAAGTGCCTGAGACCAAACAAAGTGTATGAAACAGTTTAAATCCTCCCCTTCAGTCTTGCACAGGTGTCTTGGCTCCTCCCCTTCAGTCTTGCACAGGTGTCTTGGCTCCTCCCCTTCAGTCTGGCACAGGTGTAGCGGCTCCTCCCCTTCAGTCTGGCACAGGTGTACTGGCTCCTCCCCTTCAGTCTTGCACAGGTGTACCAGCTCCTCCCCTCCAGTCTTGCACAGGTGTATCGGCTCCTCCCCTTCAGTCTTGCACAGGTGTACCGGCTTCTCCCCTTCCATCTTGCACAGGTATACAGGCTCCTCCTCTTCAGTCTTGCTCAGGTGTACCAGCTCCTCCCCTTCAGTCTTGCACAGGTGTACCAGCTCCTCCCCTCCAGTCTTGCACAGGTGTATTGGCTCCTCCCCTTCAGTCTTGCACAGGTGTACTGGCTCCTCCCCTTCAGTCTTGCACAGGTGTACCGTCTTCTCCCCCTTCCGTCTTGCACAGGTGTAGCGGTTGCTCCCCTTCAGTCTTGCACAGGTGTATCGGCTCCTCCCCCTCAGTCTTGCGCAGGTGTACCGGCTCCTCCCCTTCAGTCTTGCACAGGTGTACAGGCTCCTCACCTTCAGTCTTGCACAGGTGTACCGGCTCCTCCCCTTCAGTCTTGCACAGGTGTACCGGCTCCTCCCCTTCAGTCTTGCACAGGTGTGGCGGCTTCTCCCCTTCAGTCTTGCGTAGGTGTACCGGCTCCTCCCCTTCAGTCTTGCACAGGTGTACCGGCTCCTCCCCTTCAGTCTTGTACAGGTGTACTGGCTCCTCCCCTTCAGTCTTGCACAGGTGTACCGGCACCTCCCCTTCAGTCTTGCACAGGTGTACCGGCACCTCCCCTTCACTTGCACAGGTGTACCGGCACCTCTCCTTCAGTCTTGCACAGGTGTACCGGCTCCTCCCCTCCAGTCTTGCACAGGTGTACCGGCACCTCCCCTTCAGTCTTGCACAGGTGTACCGGCTCCTCCCCTTCAGTCTTGTACAGGTGTACCGGCTCCTCCCCTTCACTCTTGCACAGGTGTACCGGCACCTCCCCTTCAGTCTTGCACAGGTGTACCGGCTCCTCCCCTCCAGTCTTGCACAGGTGTACCGGCACCTCCCCTTCAGTCTTGCACAGGTGTACCGGCTCCTCCCCTTCAGTCTTGTACAGGTGTACCGGCTCCTCCCCTTCAGTCTTGCACAGGTGTACCGGCACCTCCCCTTCACTCTTGCACAGGTGTACCGGCACCTCCCCTTCACTCTTGCACAGGTGTACCGGCACCTCCCCTTCAGTCTTGCACAGGTGTACCGGCTCCTCCCCTCCAGTCTTGCACAGGTGTACCGGCACCTCTCCTTCAGTCTTGCACAGGTGTACCGGCTCCTCCCCTTCAGTCTTGCACAGGTGTACCGGCACCTCCCCTTCAGTCTTGCACAGGTGTACCGGCACCTCCCCTTCAGTCTTGCACAGGTGTACCGGCACCTCCCCTTCAGTCTTGCACAGGTGTACCGGCTCCTCCCCTCCAGTCTTGCACAGGTGTACCGGCACCTCTCCTTCAGTCTTGCACAGGTGTACCGGCTCCTCCCCTTCAGTCTTGCACAGGTGTACCGGCTCCTCCCCTTCAGTCTTGCACAGGTGTACCGGCACCTCCCCTTCAGTCTTGCACAGGTGTACCGGCACCTCCCCTTCAGTCTTGCACAGGTGTACTGGCTCCTCCCCTGGTTACTCTGATGTCACTGCACACTGGGAGGTTCTCACAGTGTGTATTAGAAGCCGCAGCAAGTCAGATAGAGCTCCGCCTCCTTTCTTGGCTGGGGGATGTCCAACAGTGGTCTCCCTATGGGGGGGGGGCAGGGAGTGCAGCCCCCAATCCCGTGTCAGTATCCCATGAAGATCTGTATCTCCTGCAGCAACTGCGCATGTGCCGGTCTCAGCCGGACAGGTACCTGAATTCAGCTAACCTCTTACATGTGGAACGGTGGGCAGGACACAGCAGGAGACAGGCTAGATGGGCGGGACACAGGCTGGATGGGCGGGGCACAGCAGGAGACAGGCTAGATGGGCGGGGCACAGGCTGGATGGGCGGGGCACAGCAGGAGACAGGCTACATGGGCGGGACACAGGCTAGATGGGCGGGACACAGGCTGTATTAACCCCTTACATGCCGAATGGTCAGCGCTTATCCCGGGGATTTCACAGCAGCTGTAGCATAATGATGGGAGGGGGTTGGGGGTCACTGTCAGTCGGAAGGGGGTTGTCAGTGGGGGGGGGGGGGTCAGTAGTTGGGGGTGAAGGTCTGTGACATCCACCCATCAAGGCATTTTGATATTTGCATAACTCCTCCCAAGAGTCAGCCCACTGCTTGCATCAGGACACGTGAGAGGATTACTGAGGCAGGGCGCTGTCGCCCCTCCTATCAGCCATGATCTGCCTGCATTGCGCAGAGAAGCACAGAGACCCAGTGGTGACAGACAGATCTCCCCCCCCCCCCCCATCGCTCTCCCTCAGCAGTAATCATCCACCTTTCATGGTTCCTTCTCTGGGGTGAGCTATATTTGCTGGGGGGCGGATGCTCCCTTTTCTGGCACTGGTTGCAGCCACACACGATCACCCCCAGAGACGATTCTGCCTCCACTTGTAGACTTTCAGCCACAACAAAGATACATCCCCCAACAGGCAGAGTCCCGGAGAGCGCAGCTCCATCCCGTCTGATCACTTGCTGGATGAAGATGCCTCGCGGGGGGCTGATTCATGTGAGCAGCTCAGAGACAATGGCAGCCGCCGGCTGATAAAGTGCCGAGTCGCAGGAACAATTCCTTCATGACGTTTATTGTGAGAAACCATCAACATGAACCGCCATGACGTCCAAATACACCCGAAGCTGCCAGGAATCCCAACCGGGTCCTGTCTGTGGACAGTGGACTAGGAATTCCTCGCAGGCCATATGGCTACTATGGGGGCCAGGGTGGGAGGGGGCCCAGGGGTGAGAGGGGGCTGGGATGAGACGGGGCACAGGGGTGAGAGGGGGCTTGGATGAGAGGGGGCACAGGGGTGAGAGGGGGCTGGGATGGGAGGGGACCCAGGGGTGGGAGGGGGCTGGGGTGAGAGGGGGCCCAGGGATGGGAGGGGACCCAGTGGTGAGAGTGGGCCAGGGTGAGAGGGGGCCCAGGGGTGGGAGGGGGCTGGGATGGGAGGGGGCCCAGGGGTGGGAGGGGGCTGGGATGGGAGGGGGCTGGGGTGAGAGGGGGCCTGGGATGGGAGGGGACCCAGTGGTGAGAGTGGGCCAGGGTGAGAGGGGGCCCAGGGGTGGGAGGGGGCTGGGATGGGAGGGGGCCCAGGGGTGGGAGGGGGCTGGGATGGGAGGGGGCTGGGGTGAGAGGGGGCCTGGGATGGGAGGGGACCCAGCGGTGAGAGTGGGCCAGGGTGGGAGGGGGCCCAGCGGTAAGAGGGGGCCAGGGTGGGAGGGGGCCCAGTGGTAAGATGGTTGGGAGGTGGCCCAGGAGTGTGAGAGGTGGGAGGGGGCCCAGGGGTGACAGTGGACCGGAGTGGGAGGGGGCCCAGTGGTGGGAGGGGTCCAGGGGTGATAGGGGTGGGAGGGGGCCCAGCGGTGAGAAGGGGCCCAGGGGTGAGAGTGGGCCAGGGTGGGAGGGGGCCCAGTGGTAAGAAGGGGCTGGGGTGGGAGGGGGCCCAGCGATGAGAGGGGTGGGCCCAGGAGTGAGAGAGGTGGGATATGCTTCTTACGGAGCCACTCCTTGGTTCTCCTGGCTGGGTGCTTCGGGTCGTTGTCATGTTGGAAGACCCATCCATGACCCATCTTCAATGCTCTGACTGAGGGGAGGAGGTTGTTGCTGAAAATCTCACCATAAATGACCCCATTCATCCTCTCCTTAATACAGTGCAGTCGTCCTGTCCCCTTCGCAGAAAAGCACCCCCAAAGCATGATGTTACCACCCCCATGCTTCACAGTAGGGATGGTGTTCTTGGGATGCAACTCATCCTTCTTTTTCCTCCAAACACGACGAGTGAAGTTTAGACCAAACGTTCTCCTTTGGTCTCCTCTGACCACATGACTTTCTCCCGTCTCCACTGCATCATCCAGATGGTCATTGGCAACCTTCAGACGGGCCTGGACATGTGATGACTGGAGCAGGGGAACCTTCAGACGGGCCTGGACATGTGATGACTTGAGAAGGGGAACCTTCAGACGGGCCTGGACATGTGATGACTGGAGCAGGGGAACCTTCAGAGGGGCCTGGACATGTGATGACTGGAGCAGGGGAACCTTCAGACGGGCCTGGACATGTGATGACTGGAGCAGGGGAACCTTCAGACGGGCCTGGACATGTGATGACTTGAGCAGGGGAACCTTCAGAGGGGCCTGGACATGTGATGACTTGAGCAGGGGAACCTTCAGAGGGGCCTGGACATGTGATGACTTGAGCAGGGGAACCTTCAGACGGGCCTGGACATGTGATGACTTGAGCAGGGGAACCTTCAGACGGGCCTGGGACATGTGATGACTTGAGCAGGGGAACCTTCAGACGGGCCTGGACATGTGATGACTTGAGCAGGGGAACCTTCAGACGGGCCTGGACATGTGATGACTTGAGCAGGGGAACCTTCAGACGGGCCTGGACATGTGATGACTGGAGCAGGGGAACCTTCAGAGGGGCCTGGACATGTGATGACTTGAGCAGGGGAACCTTCAGACGGGCCTGGACATGTGATGACTGGAGCAGGGGAACCTTCAGACGGGCCTGGACATGTGATGACTTGAGCAGGGGAACCTTCAGAGGGGCCTGGACATGTGATGACTGGAGCAGGGGAACCTTCAGACGGGCTTGGACATGTGATGACTGGAGCAGGGGAACCTTCAGACGGGCCTGGACATGTGATGACTGGAGCAGGGGAAACCTTCCATGCAATGCATGATTGGAAACCATGACGGCGTAGTGTTCTACCGACAGTGACCTGTGAAACTGTGGTCCCAGCTGTCTTCATGTCATTGAGCAGCTCCTCCCTTGTAGTTCTGGGCTGATTCCTCACCTTTCTTCTCATCAGTGATACCCCACGAGGGGACATCTTACATGGAGCCCCAGTCCGAGGGAGACTGACAGTCGTCTTCAGCCTCTTCCATTTTCTAACAATTGCTCCAACAGTTGATCTATTTTCACCAAGCTGCTTGGCAATTGCCCCGTAGCCCTTTCCAGCCTTGTGGAGGTCCACAATTTTGTCTCTGGTGTCTTTTGACAGCTCTTTGGTCTTGCTCATGGTAGTAGTTGGCGTCTGACTGACTGTGGGGTGGACAGGTGTCTTTAAAGAGCTCAGACAGGTGCTACTAAGTGAGATGAATGAGTGGAGTAGAGGGGGGGGGGCTTTGTAAAGGCGCAGTAACAGGTCTTTGGGAGCCAGAATTATTGCTGTTTCTCAGGGGTTCAAATCCTTCTGTTCAGCCGTGCGAGACAAATACATTCTTTACAAATCATACAATGTGATCTCCTGAATTCTGTCCTCAGAGTGGGAATCCCCTGCAATGTGATTCCTGAATTCTGTCCTCAGAGTGGGAATCCCCTGCAATGTGAATGTCAGACCCTCCATGATGGAGAAGTGGGAGAACTTGCAGAATCGCAGGGGGTTCACATACTTCTGTTCCTCACTGTATATACCCCCATGTACCCATAGTCCTCCTCCTTCTACAAAGTTACAATGTACAGTCTGATCACTGGGGGAGGGAGACTGAGGAAACGCTTCCTCCTCCTTCTACAAAGTTACAATGTACAGTCTGATCACTGGGGGAGGGGAGAGACTGAGAAAACGCTTCCCTCCTCCTTCTACAAAGTTACAATGTACAGTCTGATCACTGGGGGAGGGGAGACTGAGGAGGATGCCTCCTCCTCCTTCTACAAAGTTACAATGTACAGTCTGATCACTGGGGGAGGGGAGACTGAGGAAACGCTTCCTCCTCTTTCTCAAAGTTACAATGTACAGTCTGATCACTGGGAGAGAAGACTGAGGAAATGCCGCCTCCTCCTTCTACAAGGTTACAATGTACAGTCTGATCACTGGAGAGGAGAGGGGGACTGAGGAAATGCTTCCTCCTGCCTGCAGCAGACTGATGACATCATCTCATCCTAGCCAACGTCACTGACTGGATCTCCAGGACAGCTTTGATTCAGTTGCTGTGTATTGGGGAATGTCTGGGATCTATGTTGGGAGTCACTGATTGGCTCCTGCCCTCCCCCGTCGGATTCTTTTGTCTCGGCACTGAAATTCATTATTTTTCCATATTTCTTCCCGCGAACAAAGAATGAAATGATAGAAGTGCGATGCGAGACGTAAAACGTAGCAAATATCGCAATCCTCGCCGCTGTGAGCGGTGGAGGCGGAGTTCCTCTTAAAGGGCCGGTCGCCTCTCTCCCCCACGGACAGCTGGTACAATGAATGAGGCCGGCTGGTCTCCGGAGTGCGATGTGATTGGACGCGGCCGATGGAAATATTGTCCGTACGCCAGCGCGGGTGTCATGGAATGAGAGGCTTCGGCCGACGTGTCAGGAAAAAATCACAAACTCTATTGTGATGGAAAGATCAGCTAGGATATGACAATGGGGGGGGGGAAGGGATGGGGGGGGAGGGGAAGAAAGGGAGGGGGGGGGGGGTATTTATTTTTCCACACTATGAATCTGAAATGATTTTTTTCCCCGGAGTTCCCCCGGGAAGGAGCAGCTGACCGACCGCGGCTCTGATGTTTTCTGATGGTACAAACACCTCCTCAGAGCGGCCAATCACAAACCGGCGAGGTCTCTCAAATTTTAAAGCAGGTGTAAAGGTCTTCACTGATTGGTTGCTGGGATTTGGTGGAACATCTGCTTGTATTGGAACTCCTAAACGGAAAGTTCTGATCCCGGCATTTGGTAACAATGTATGTATGTCCCTTACATTGGGGGTCAGTGGGAAGAACGTCCCTTACATTGTGGGTCAGTGGGAAGAATGTCCCTTACATTGGGGGTCAGTGGGAAGAATGTCCCTTACATTGGGGGTCAGTGGGAAGAATGTCCCTTACATTGGGGGTCAGTGGGAAGAATGTCCCTTACATTGGGGGTCAGTGGGAAGAATGTCCCTTACATTGGTGGTCAGTGGGAAGAATGTCCCTTACATTGGGGGTCAGTGGGAAGAACGTCCCTTACATTGTTGGTCAGTGGGAAGAATGTCCCTTACATTGGGGGGGTCAGTGGGAAGAATGTCCCTTACATTGGTGGTCAGTGGGAAGAATGTCCCTTACATTGGAGGTCAGTGGGAAGAATGTCCCTTACATTGGGGGTCAGTGGGAAGAATGTCCCTTACATTGG